CGTCAGGGGACACGAGATCTGTTAGATGGAGAGAGTAAGTTCAAGAGATCACTTGCACACCATAGCAGCTGTGGTTAACAAAATATTGTATTTTTTTTAAGACTGACTCATTTGAAAGGCAGAGCAACAGAGAGGGAGAGACAGAAAGAAAGAGGTCTTCCATCCACTGGTCTAGTCCCCAAATGGCTGCAACATCCAGGTCTGGACTGGACAGGAGCCAGGAATTCTGGGTCTCCCAGATGGGTGGCAGGGGTGCGAGCACTAGGTCCCTCTGCTGCTGCCTTTGCAGGCCAAGTGGCAGGGAGCTGGATCTGAAGCACAGCAGCAGGGACTCGAACCGGCCCTGCAGTATGGGATGCCAGAATTGCAAGCAGTGGCTTAATGCACTGTGCCACACCACCAGCCCTGGTACTGTTTTGAAGATTGCCGAGAGTAGGTTTTGAAGTTTTCTTACCGCAAAAAGTCTATGAGATCATGCATATAGCTAATTAGCTCAACTGACCCATTTCACAATATACATGTATTTTTAAACCTCATGGTTTACCTCATGGTAAATAAATATGTAACTTGTCAATTAAAAATCAGTAAAAGAAAATACGGAAGTCATTAAAGCAAGGAGAAGGGTGTGGTTTGACAGGAGATGGAAGGAAGAGCAATTTTATTCTTCTCCACGATGCCAGTGTTCATCCTTGAACCTGGGACAAGGGAATCAGGCTGCGCACACAGCACAGGGTCCTTTAACTGAGTGAAACAGAGACATCAGAGGGAAGTCTTGGAGTCCATACTCCTGCTTGTGGCTTCCAGAAGACTGGTTCCAAGAAGAGTTCATTATGGTAAGGTGCTGAAGGGGCAAGTTTTAAATGTGTTGATTCAGCACACCCGTATCAAACTTTCTGAGAACTGCAGAGCCCAAGGTGAGCCACAGTCTTTGCTTTCTGAAGTCAACACTGCAGAGAGGGGACAGCATAAGCAAAGAGATAATTAAACCGTGTACTCATGTCATGAAGACAGACAATGAAGGGACAGCTGTGGCTGTGGCCGTCAAGGAAGTCTGAGGCAATGACACTGAAGCTGGGCTCTACAGGACAACAGGCGACCCCAGGAGGGCCCGGGAAAAGAGGTTCTGGACCGGAGCAGCAGGGACAGAGGGTGCAGGGGTGAGCGGGCCCCCGAGGGCCCTGCCAGGAAAGGCCTTTTGCAGGGAGGGGGACACAGATTTCACTCTCAACGCAATGACAAGTCCGTGTAGGCTGTGAGAAGCCGTGAGACACTGGGGTCAGGCGTGGGGCCTGAGCTCCCTCAGGAGTCACTGGACGGTCAAGGAGAAGGCGAGGCAGTGGCCGGACAGAGTCTACTTGGGCAGTAAGGGGTCAGACAGATGCCCACCAGACTTGGCAGACCACGGGTCTCTCCTGGGAACTGTTGACTGCTGCGTCTAGTTACTCACAGCACCTGTCCTGGGTGCCTGCCCGTGACAGGAGCAGATCAGGCCCTCCAGGCTGCGACTCCAGTGACAGAGACGGTCAACAGCAAGTAAACACACAAACGCCACCTAAGTTCGGGTGGTGACAGGCGCCGTAACAGAGAAAGTATTTGATTCATGCGTATGCACATTTTTTACAAGTGGCGGGGTCAGGTGTGACCACGCGCCCTGAAAAGTCAGAAACAAACAAACAAAAATGTCCCCTACAGACAACAGAAAAAGCAGTGTCGCGAGAAGCCAGGCACAAAGCACCAAGCTGAGAGAGAGTGAGACTGGTGTTCTGAGTCGGCGGGTACGACAGAGAAGCACTCGCAGGGATGCACTCTAGCTGGGCCTGAAAGCCAAGGCAGAATTTGAACAGACTGGGGGAGGAAAGAGCACGCAGGAAGTGTCGCAGGCGAGGATGGCCTGTGGCGGGAGCACTGAGCAAAAGCACCAGACGTAGGAGGGACATGTTAGGTGCCTGTTGCTGAGAAGTAACGTGTGCCAAACTTAGCGGTTCAAACAGTAGCCGTCTGTTATCACTTATTTGTATGGGTCAGGAGTCCGGGCTGGCCTACCGAGGACCTCCGGCAAAGGGACTGGCTGGGGCTGTCCTTGTGGTCCAGCTGGGCAGAATCTGCTTCTGAGCTTGCTGCTGGGACTGTTGGCAGCCGCATGACCTCCCGGGTCACGGCCAGGGGCCACTGCTCCTTGCCACGTGGGCCTCGCCATAGCACAGTTCACAAGATGGCAGCTGGCTCCCCACAAAGCAAATGAGGGCTGGGGAGCCCCAGCCCTTCCATCCCCTGGTGTGTCGCAAGGGGGCATGCCGCACTAGGCTTGGTTCATGGTTCAGGAGAGGGTTCCCCACCAGAAGATTAGAAGTGCCTGCCCCAGCAACAATGGGAGACCAGGTCGGAAACAGGTGGGCTGCATCACGGGGAGCCATGGGAGCCACCTAAGAGTGAATCTGTTCAGATGAAAACCAAGCAGTAGAGATGCAAGTGGGACAGCCGAGTCCCACAACAGGCAAAGTGGAGTGGGGGATAAACAGAATTTTGAGGGCCCCCCAGAGATCGCCTGTGGAACAAGCCAGGAAGATCAGTGACGGCTCTGAGGAAGCAAAACCACTGTATTTTAATAATCAGGCAGTAATGGTCAGATAATTCCACGGAGGACAGCCCTCTGCTCTCACTGGAACCCATCAACCTACCTTGACAACGCGCTCCTGAAAACCCAGAGTTGACAACTGATGTTTGTGACTGCTTTTCCAAGAACCGATGATGAGGTTTGCTTTCGGCCTGCTCAAGCCCCAACCTACAGCATGAAAAACGTTTGTTTTGCATCTCAGGATGCACACACAGGTATATGTAATCGAGAGGCGTACAGAGAACACTTAACGTGACCATACAGGGCATCCCTGTTCTAGTGCCCTCAAGAAATAAAAAACCGGACAGTGATCGCGGAGTTCACACTGTGCACACCGACCGGTTAGTTTGAAAATTACTGCTGTTGTGAGACCCTACGTTAGAAATCAAAATCGCACCACTCAGGGGGCCAGCATGGTGGTACAGTGGGTTAGGGTGACGCCTGTGACAACAGCATCCCAAACTGGAGTGCCGGTTCAAGTCCCGGCTGCTGTGCTTCTGATCTGGCTCCCTGCTAGTGCTCCTGGGGAGGCACAGGTGATGGCCACCCCCAGGGAGACGCAGATCCAGTTTCTGGCTCCTGGCTTCATCCTGGTGCAGACCTGGCTGTTGTCATTTGGGGAGTGAATCAGCAGATGGAATATCTCTGTCTCTCCCTGTCACTCTGCCTTTCAGAGAATTCCTTTAAACCAAAATGACAGCACTCGGCCCAGCAGGAATTTGGTGGTCTGCTTCTCCTTCCAGCACAGCACAAAGCACCTGCGGCCAGGCTTGAGTCAGCAGCTGGCCTCAGATGGACCTCAGATGAACCCAGCTGGCAAGTGTGGGGCGCTCCTCTTCTTTTTAAAAATTTTGTTTATTTATTTGAGAGGTACAGTAACAAAGTCTTCCATGTGCTGCTTCACTCCCCAAATGGCCCAACAGCCAGAGCTGAGCCAACCCGAAGCCAGGAGCCAGAAACTTATTCCAGGTCTCCCACAGCAGTGCAGGGGCCCGAGGACTTGGGCCATCTTCCACTGCTTTCTCAGGCCATAGCAGAGAGCTGGATCGGAAGAGGAGCAGCTGGGACATGAACCGGTGACCATATGGGATGCTGGCACCGCGGGCGGAGGCTTAGCCCACTATGCCACAGCGCTAGCCCCTCCCCTCCCTTTTGGTCATTTCCTGTCCAGGTTCTGATCCTAGGCCAACAGATCCAGATGACAGCCCTGAGACACACCCCCGAACACTCAGCTGCACAGCCTCCCACTTCTCCCAAGTGCGCACGGCCTGACCACCACCAAGTGAAGCGCGGAGGTGCAGTGGCCAGTGCAGACTGGTGGCCATCCCCGCCCACCCCCCAGTGTTCCTAAGCTCCTCTCCAGGGCCTGGGGGATGACCCCAGAGTCACCTGCCAATCAGCAGAAAGCCGAAATGAAGGCCCTTTCCAGGCTATGACTGCAGTTCTCACAGGAGGGGTGATGTGTCACAGTGCACGCCAGCCCCCCAGAGCGCCCAAGGGGCCCCGGAGAGAAAGACCTCCAGCCTGGACAACACAGCACAGTTCTAAAACAGCCCCACAGTCCCCGCCACAGGTCTGGGTCTGAGTCCTAGCCGCACTCTGGACCCCAGCCTCGGGCTAAGGCACCCTTGGGAGGGGGGGAGTAGGTGCTGGCCCCCGGCCACCCACCAGGACCTGGATTGAGTTCCTGGCTCCCGGTCCATCCTTGACCATTTGGGGCATCGATTTCTCAAATACACTTTGAAAACAATTAAGTCTGTGACCACCGAGAGGGGCGTCCGTGGGGGTCAGGACCAGCCCCCCCGAAGGTGCGCGGCCCGGGCAGAGAAGGCTCGGGGTGGGGTTCCGGGAGCTGCGGAAGGGGCGCCCGGGCCGCCTCGCTCCACCCAGGGCCGTGGCGCAGGCCGAGGCGCCGCAGGCTCCCGTTCCGCGGCAGCGGGCAGTGCGCTGCCTTCCTCCGGAAGACACTGGACGCAGGGGCAGCGCGGCGAGGGGTCGCTAGGAGTGGGGGGCAGGGCCGCGGCGGGGCCCGCGCTCTCCCGCGTCCCCCACGGCAGTATTCCTCCGGCGGCCCGCGCTCGTGACCGCCAGGCGGCCTTTGTCTCCGGCCGGGCCGGCCCCGCACGGCCGCCGCCCTCGGCGGGGACACGCGGCGACCCCGGCCCCGCGTCGCGCCGGGCGGCCGGGCCAGCGCGGGGGGCGGGCGCGCGGGGCGGGGCGGGGCGGCGCGGCGCGGGGCGGGGCGCGGCCAGGTGCTGCGGGTACACAAAGCGCGCCCCGCCCCCTGACGCGTCCCGGCGCCGCTATAACCGCGCGCCCCGCCGGCGCCGCCGCCCCGCGCCCGCTGACCACGCCGGAGCGGCCGTCCGCTCGCCCTGCCCCGCGCCTGCCCCAGCCGTCTCTGCTGCCTTTTGTCGGACCCGCGCTCCGGGGGGAGTCGTAGTCGCCGTCGTCGTCGCCACGAATCGTGTGTGCGACAAACGCACCGGGGACGCACGCTTGCGCTCTGCGGGCACCACAGCGGGGACCACCGAGGTAGCGCGCGGGGGCGGCGGGCGGGGGGCGCGGGCCTGCGGCCACGCAGGACCCGGCTGCGGGGGTCTGCGGCGGCCGCGCTGGGCCGGGGCCGCGGGGCGGCGGCCGGCCGGGCGGGTTTGACAATCGGCGGGCCCGGTTGCATCAGCTCTGCCCGGGCTGGGGGAGGGGGCCCGGCGCGCGCTCCCCGGGGACGCGGCTGCCGCAGAGGCGCGCGGCCGGGGGGTCCGGGCGCCCCGCGAGCCTGGCGCGGGGTGGGGGAGGCCCGGAAGGCGGCGGGCGGGCGCATCCCCGCGCGGTACTTTTCCGCCCCCCGCGCGCCCCGCCCGCCGCGCCTGGTACTTTTCCACTCGGGCCGTCACGTGAGCGCGCGCCGCGGGGCTGACGCCGCCTCCACCTTCCAGGCGGCCGGGCCGGTGCAGCGCCAAGGACAAAAGGAGCGCGCGCAGCATGAGGAAGGCCGAGATGGGCAGGTTCAGCATCTCCCCGGACGAGGACAGCAGCAGCTACAGCTCCAACAGCGACTTCAACTACTCGTACCCCACCAAGCAGGCGGCCATGAAGAGGTGGGCGGGCGCGCGCCCCCGGGGGCGGCCGCGGGCGCCGCCTGACAGGACCGCGTACACACCGGGGTTTTTTTTTCTTTTCCTTTTTTGTTTTCGCAGCCATTACGCGGACGTAGATCCCGAAAACCAGAACTTTTTGCTGGAGTCGAATTTGGGCAAGAAGAAATACGAAACTGACTTTGTAAGTTGCGGCTGACGATTGGCGTGTGTGTCTGTGGCTGTTCACGCAGTCATTCAAATCTGACTTGCCCAACGCTGGTTTCCCCCGTTTAATTCTTGTCATATGTTTGGTTATCGTTTTCCCTCTGTGTAGCATCCAGGTACTACTTCCTTTGGAATGTCAGTATTTAATCTGAGCAATGCGATTGTGGGCAGTGGAATCCTTGGGCTTTCTTATGCCATGGCTAATACTGGAATTGCTCTGTTTATGTAAGTATGTGTAAGCAGTGAGTGTGCGGTGCAGGGCCGTTCGTAGCATGATAAGAACGTGTTTTGGCTCCAGAAACTGAATTTACCGTCAAAGTAGTTGGCTTAAGAATCCTGTACTCAAACGTGTGAGAAGCCCCCAGGTCTCTGTGCTCCTACACACTGCGCGGTGTCAAGAATGCCAGTTATGCAGGGGGGGAAACAAACAGGCCAGCACTGAGAACTGGCCAAGGCAGAATCGCAACGCGTGTGCCAGTGAACTGTCGAGACGTCCAGGGGAGCTGTCAGTAATGTGGGGGCAAATGCACAAGGGACAAATGTCAGGACAGCGTCTCCACATCTGTTTGGTAAAAACAAAAAATCTCCCCGAGGACCTCTGGCCCCTCACATGCATAAGGGAAAGAAAATTCTTCCAAACAAGGTACAAGGTGTGGTGGTATTTACCTAGTCTGGAACGTTCTCCTCAGACCAGTGAGTCACAGTTTTCTGAGTGCTGGAGAGCAATTCGTGCTCTTTTTTTTCCCCCCAGTGTTTGTCATTTTCAGATCCGTGTTGTGGCCAAAACTGAATGTTTTAATTAGTACCAGTTAGTGCTTGTGTTTAAAAGCACCTCCGACCCCCTTGCATAAATTATTCTTGACTTTCCAGTGTGAATGCCTGGGTAGAATGATAGAATTTGGAGGTGAAAGACCCTTGGCATCACGAACCCTTGGAGTTTGATGAAAAATAGATGCTGAACAAAATGCAGATGCAGGCGTGTCTTTCAGTGGTGTGCATGTCAGAACTGTTCAGGTTTATTGTTGGTAGACTCCTGGCGGGAGGGAAGAAGCTGACTTAGTCGTCCCTTCCACGTAGCGTGGGGTTGCTGCTTTGCCACAGATGTGTTGCGTTAGCTGACTGGTGCCTTCCCAAGTCACTTTCTCCAGGACCAGAGAATATTCCTGAAAGAGAAGCAGTTTGCACAGCCCTGCTTTGTGGCATTGCACGCTGAGCCACACCTTCCTTAGGGTCCTGGGAGGGAGGAGCCACCTGGGCTCCTTTTATTAGGATGATTTTTTTTCAGACTTCCCACTAAGATTGTGCCCAGGAATTTACATGGGAAGAATCCTGAAGTGTTAGTGGGAAACTTGAATGATGTCCTGTTAGATACTGGAAGTCCTCGCTGGCTCTTGGTGTAAAAACTGGAGGCAGTTTTTAAGTGCTACTGGTGTGGCTGTAGTGCAGATTTAAAGGAGATAAGATGGCATCTGTTTGCTAAGTGAAGTTCTGTGGGTCTTGGCGCTGCTGAAATCCCCTGTGCTTTCATAAGTGCTTCTGTGTTGGGTCAACCATTTGAGTCAGTGGATAAGCGACATGAAGGTGGCTAACGTGAGTTTCCATTCATCAGTGTCCGCCGTGTGTCCAGGGGTGCACAGGTGAATGGGTTTCCACACCAGCCTCGGCAGCTCCCAGCTAACCCTTTTCTGTGCTGCCCTGTCCGCTCACACCTGACTCAGAGCTTAGGGGCCCCCTCTGTCCCTCAGGGTCGTCGTGGAGACAGCATCTCCAGGCAGAGGTGCCCCAGGCTGTGGTAGAGTAGACCCCACCGGGGCACCGTGGGAGCAGGCCGTGGTTCCCTGGCCAGCCCCTTCAGTAGCCCTGCATGCGGATTGCTCACGCGGAGTCGAAAGCCACACGACTGTCTTGTTTGCAGAATGTGGATTTTATTCCTTTTTTTTTTTTTTTTTTTTTTTTTTTTAAAAAGCAGCCTCCATTTCTCCTGGCTTTCCTGGCTGGCAGGAACCTGGAGCTGGGGTGAAGGGGCACCTGTGCCCTACAGGGAAGCTGAGGGCCACGGGGCTTCCTGCAGCCCTTCCTGTTGCACCACTGTTTACCCCCCAGTCAGCCCTGGTAGAAGTTGGGAAGTTGGCTCCCCCAGTGGGCTGGTGGTGGCCTGCTCATTCTGGCGCAGGCACTGTTGCACTTGTGACGAGGTTGGGCCTGGGTCTTCATGGGGGGCTATGGAGAAGTGCATCCCCACAGTGGTGCCTTCTCGGGTTTTTGCCCAGCTGCTAGGAAAGCTTGTAGCGCCTGGTGCTTGCAGCGGGAGGGGTGCGCTGCCTCTTATCAGCGCAGTCCATGTGGTCCTGAGGCCTTCCCTGAGCTGATCAGAGTCGAGCGTCACAAGATCTCGTGGGCTGGCTTTAGGGGCGGGTGTGACCCACATGTTGAAGGCAGAAGTGGCAAGCAGTAGCTAGTGCCGGTGCCGGTATCCTCGCTTCCCCACTGGGATTAGTTTGGCCCCAGTGGGTAGATCCTAGCTGTAGCCAGCGCTGTGGGACTGTTCCCTGAGACACTGCCAGGCAGGAGAAGATGTTGACACTTGAGCCAGCAGGAGAGGGCACACCTGTTTCTGGGGGCATTTGGGCACGAATAAGACAAATTCCATGCTTAATGTTATTTCAGCCGCCAAGAGCTGTGCTTGTTTCTGACCCTGTGCCTTTGCTTTCCCCATCAGAATTCTGTTGACATTTGTGTCAATCTTTTCCCTGTACTCTGTTCATCTTCTTCTGAAGACTGCCAATGAAGGAGGTAGGAGACATTCCTGCGTGTCCTCACTGTACGCTCGTCATGGTGTCTTGCCTCTTACAAAACGTCTGCCTGGCCTCTCTGCTCTTCGCTTCGCAGGGTCTTTGCTGTACGAGCAGTTGGGACACAAGGCGTTCGGACTGGTGGGGAAGCTGGCCGCCTCCGGGTCCATCACCATGCAGAACATCGGCGGTAAGCACCCGGGGGGCTTTGCTTGTGGTGTAGCGCAGAGTGGTGACACGAGTTTGAGTGTCCTGTGGCACATCTTGCACTTGTAATGGTATAATTTTGTTTTCCTCCAGCGATGTCAAGCTACCTCTTCATAGTGAAATATGAGTTACCTTTGGTGATCCAGGCATTAATGAACATTGAAGATACAACTGGGTAGGTGCTAAGTAAGGTTATTCGTAAGAAACCATTCTAGTCTCAAATGGTCCGACACATTAAGTCCTAGTCAGATACAGAGTAAGTTATCCATACGTGTTCCTGTGGAAACCAACCAGAGGCCCCTGAAACTTGAGGATGAAGAGGCCAGAGGTAGTAGCTCACCTGTGACACTCTGGTCACCTGCTCTCTAACCTGTATGTGGAGGTGAATTGTCTAGCACTCACTGTCTCTTGGAGTCAAAGTTAGGATGTGAACTCCAACCTGAGTTAGGTTTGAAGCTGCAGATTTACCTCAAAAGGTCATGTAATACCTGTCTGGCTTTTGGTTAGGTTCGAAGCTCTTAAATTTTTTTTTTTTTTTTTAAGATTTATTTATTTATTTGAAAGAGTTACACAGAGAAGGAGAGACAGAGAGAGAGAGAAGTCTTCCATTCCACTGGTTTCCTCCCTAAGTGACCATGATGGCTAGAGCTGAACTGATCCGGAGCCAGGAGCTTCTTCGGGTCTCCCCTGCGGGTTCAGCGGCCCAAGCACTTGGGCCCTCTTCTGCTGCTTTCCCAGGCCATAGCAGAGAGCTGGATTGGAAGTGGAGCAGCTGGGACTCGAACTGGTGCCCATATGGGATGCTGGCACTGTAGGCAGTGACCTCACCCGCTATACCACAGCGCCGGTCCTGGCTCTTAAAATTTAATCTCTGCTTTCCGTGGAACAGTCTCCCTCTCCCGGCAGAGTTGTTGCTCCTGGTGGACGGCTAGCTTTCCCTCTAAGTAAACACGGAGTAGGGCCCACTTGCTTGGATGCAGCTTATCCGCTCACCACAGAGCAGGCTGTTCATCTTTGCTTGTGGCTTTAGGCACAGAATTGGGTAAGTAAGTCTTCAGTGCAGTGAGTGGAATTCACAGAGCAGTTGGAGTTTGAAAGGAGAGGTCTAAGGGTTTGTGACAACTGCAGGGCCAGAACCCTCAGGGACGGCCTCGCTCTGACTTTTTGGAGGAAAGCTGGGTGAAGGTGTCACGAAATAGCCGACAACCTGGAGGAAGTCCTGCTTTGGGGATTGTTTTGTCTTTTTGGTTTCACCTGTGCCTTTTAACTAAGCATGAAAGAATTGTTGAAATGTTTACTAAGTACGTTTGCTAACAAATGGGCTGGCGGGGACAAAAGATTTTTTAAAAAATTTCCTTGTTTGTAGCATTAGACTTTGCAAGCTAAAAGTTATAACCAAGTTAGTATACAGTTTTCTCCAAGTGCTTAAAGATAAGATTCCTGGCTTAACAAAGCAGCCTTGTTGGCCGCATGAGCACCAAGCCTTTAAGGAGCATTTTATGTTATGAGTCCACTGGCAGCCTTCCCAGAGTAAACAGAGGGACAGAGGTTACACTGTCTGCTGCCTCATTTCTAACTGGGTGAATATTCCTCTAGCCCACAGAGTTAAAAAGTGACTGCTGGCTTGAATAAGGGATGTTTTCCCAAACCTGTCTTTTTCTGTCGGTCTGTTTTCATGATGTTGCTCTAGAATGAGGGTTTTGTGGCTGCTTTTGACCTTGCCTCTCCTTTCCTCAACCCAGATTGTGGTACCTGAACGGCGACTACCTGGTCCTGCTGGTGTCGCTGGTGCTCATTCTCCCTCTGTCACTGCTGAGGAACTTGGGTGAGCAGACCCCCGAGTACGAGTGCGTGAGACTAGAAGGCACAGGGGGTCGCCTGGGCAGCGCAGCCGCGGGAGGGCTCGAGGGGCCCACGGGAGGGCCTGCGCTTCATGGTGACGCAGAATGAGGCTGTCTGATTGGCTGTGCTGAGTGTGCTGCAAGCTGTGTGACAGTGTGAGGATGAGACAGGGAGGCGACGGGGCGTCTGCCACGCCGGAGCCCACCTCACCGGTCGTTCTTCTCTTACAGGATATCTGGGATATACCAGTGGCCTTTCTTTGTTGTGCATGATGTTCTTTCTAATTGTGGCAAGTACCATTTTCCTTCAGAAAATATTGCTTCAAAGCCCTTTCGAGACTGTTCAGTTTAACAAGTACAGGGTAATGTGTTTCCAGGTGATCTGCAAGAAATTCCAGATTCCTTGTCCCGTGGAGATGGCGCTGATGCTTAACGAGACTGTGAATGGCACCTTGCTGCAGCCGGCAGCCTTTGCACGTGGCTCGGCGGTCAACGAGACTCTCCATGAGTCCTGCAAGCCGCGTTACTTCATCTTCAACTCCCAGGTAGCTGGCGCAGTCTGCATTAGGGGAGCACAGAGGGAAGTTAGCCTCTGGAAAGTTTAAAACACCTCTCGGGCAAGTGAGGAGGACTGGCAGGGACTTTCTAGAGCACGTGTGATTGGTTCATTACTGAGGAGTGTGCAGAGGTTGTGTGTTAAGTGGTCGAGAATGAAGTAATACTCTTGCAGTAGTTGACGCATTTGCAAGTGGCGGTGACACGAGGAGCACATTAGAAGAATGGAAGCTAATTACGTGAAAGCGACTCCTTAGGCTTAGAGACTGAGACTGTCCACGTGAAGTAGAAGCTGTGAAACCGTTGTGACAGTGTGGTACGCAGGGTGTTAAGTGGACCTCTCTGTGTTTTCCAGACTGTCTATGCCGTGCCAATCCTGACCTTTTCGTTCGTCTGCCACCCTGCTGTTCTCCCCATCTACGAGGAACTGAGAGGGTGAGTGTTTGTATCACGTGACTGGGGAAATACTGGACTCCGATTCTAGCCGCCGCCGACACACAATTGCTTTTTCTTCTGAATTTGCACAGCCGTAGCCGGAGGAGGATGATGAACGTGTCCAAGATCTCGTTTTTCGCCATGTTTCTCATGTACCTGCTTGCTGCTCTCTTTGGATACCTGACATTTTACGGTAAGTTGCAGTGCCTAGTTTATTCAGACACATAGACACACATTGTTACTGAGATGAGACTAACACTTGGCCGTGTGTACTTCCATCCCTTTGAAAATTTCACTTGGTTTGTGTGTTCACATTTATGAGAAAACATTGAGTGTAGGATTCAAAATTTCTCCGTGTGTATTTGATCAATAATGTTTAAAATCCATGGTAAAAACCACACCCTTAGACAGTGGCATATTTGCCTCCAAGTTTCCTTTGCCTCACTCTCCTGTCTCCTCAGACTGTGTCACACACAGAGACTGGGGCCTGCCTCTTCTGTCTCCTCAGACTGAATCACACACAGACTGGGGCCTCGCTCTTCTCCTGTCTCCTCAGACTGTGTTAGAGACTGGGGCCTCACTCTTCTCCTGTCTCCTCAGACTGTGTCACACACAGAGACTGAGGCCTGCCTCTTCTGTCTCCTCAGACTGTATCACACACAGACTGGGGCCTCGCTCTTCTCCTGTCTCCTCAGACTGTATCACACAGAGACTGAGGCCTGCCTCTTCTCCTGTCTCCTCAGACTGTGTTACACACAGAGACTGGGGCCTCACTCTTCTCCTGTCTCCTCAGACTGTATCACACAGAGACTGAGGCCTGCCTCTTCTCCTGTCTCCTCAGACTGTGTTACACACAGAGACTGGGGCCTCGCTCTTCTGTCTCCTCAGACTGTGTTACACACATACTGGGGCCTCGCTCTTCTCCTGTCTCCTCAGACTGTATCACACACATACTGGGGCCGCTTCTGTCTCCTCAGACTGTATCACACAGAGACTGCGGCCTCGCTCTTCTCCCTCTCCCTCAGACCATCAGACACTGAGACTGACTGCCTCTTCTCCTATCTCCCTCAGACTGTGTCATGCACAGAGAAACTGAGCCAAACCACGGGATTTAGAGTTTTAGCTCCCGTTGTTTTTAATGGGGGTCATGTGGCTAAATCTCTACTTGGTATTTAGAAAAAACTTTCTTCAATGTTATTTTAATTGCATCAAGCATAATTCCAAATTAATCTTATTAACTTCTTAGTGTGTGGTCACTTTGTGAGTAGCTAATAACCTTGGAACAGAGTTGGCCGTGGGTCGGATTTTGTACCTTGTCTGCGGAACACTCACGGCCGTCTTGGTCTCTCGGTAGAACATGTGGAGTCGGAGCTGCTTCACACCTACTCCACCGTCATGGAGACCGACGTGCTGCTGCTCATTGTCCGACTGGCTGTGCTGGTAGCTGTCACCCTCACCGTGCCAGTGGTCATCTTCCCGGTAAGCAACTGCCTGTACTGCTTTTGGTAGGAATGAGTTTTTATAGATGGGAGGATTTGCTGAGAGATGAAAATCTAGAAAAAAAGAAACTAAGTCTGGTTTTGAAGGGACTTTTTAAAATATGTAGATTTTTCTAAATACATGGGGCATGTTTTCCACAGCTGGATCTGTAGAATGCTTCTTGTAAGTGGTCAGGCAGGCAGGCGGAAAGGTGGTGACGAGAGGGAGCGTGGTGTCGCTCCACTAGGTGCCGTTGCAGACACAGCCCCTGTTACCTGGGGATGGACGGCTGCATCGTGCAAAGGTTCTGTTGCTCCTTTTACAGATCCGGAGTTCCATCACCCACTTGCTGTGTGCAGCCAAAGATTTCAGTTGGTGGCGTCACAGTCTCATCACTGTGTCTATCTTGGCATTTACCAATTTGCTGGTCATCTTTGTCCCGACAATTAGGGATATCTTTGGTTTCATTGGTAAGTGGTACTAAGTGCCCAAGCTGATTGAAATACTGGGGATTGTAAGGTTTTTAAAAATAGTGAGTGACCTCCTGAGCTCTCAGACGCAGTGGATGGTCCCTTGCAGGTGCATCTGCAGCCGCCATGTTGATCTTCATCCTCCCGTCTGCCTTCTACATCAAGTTAGTGAAGAAGGAGCCCATGGCATCTGTGCAGAAGATCGGGGTGAGTGATGAGCGGCGGGGACCAGAAACTCCTGAGCCTGGTACTGGATTTAGTACCTCAGCCCGGGCACGTGTGCTTCGCTCTGAAGTATATGTGAACCTCACAGGTGGAGGCAGGGTGGGGAAAGGCATCGTCTATGCATTCGGCACTTGGATTGGTTGGCAGAGATGGGTATAGCTGTGCAGAGCCCTGGAACCAGTGCGTGTCGGGCTCTGTCTGCCGTGTGCCAGGCACTCAGCAGGCGTCAGGCGAATGCTGGAGAAAGTGTGTGACATGTTTGGGCGAATGAGCCCTCCTGAAAGAGGAGCCTCCTGGTGGTGGCTTTTGTGCGGCTGTCCTGCAGAGCCCTCGGGGCTGCGTCCCGGCTGTGGTGTCCACTGCCACTGTGGTCTGTCCCTCTCCATCAGAGCTAGGGATGGCGGTCCCTGAATGGTAGGGTTGGGCTGAGCGAAGCCGCGTCTCCCCTTGACGCAGCCTGTGTAGTCAAGCGGTTGGGTTTGAGTTCGTGACTGAAGCTTTGCTCTAAGATGGCAGAAACCCACCTGCGGTCGTAAGTGGTGTAGCCTGCCTGCTGCGTGGAGTGGGGGCAGCCCCTGGGCCGGGGCAGCAGGCCCTCGGAAGCGAGGTGTGACTGTCGGCGGGAGGCCCTCGCTCACGCTGTCTGTGCCCCGTGCAGGCGCTGCTCTTCCTGCTGAGCGGCGTGGTGGTGATGGCGGGCAGCATGGCGCTCATCGTCCTGGACTGGGTGGACAACGCCTCCACGGGGGGCCACTAGTGACACCGCGCCCCGAGCCCCGACGCCAGTGTTGAGTCTTCTCGACTGCGAAGTCTCACGGATGTGTTCAGTTTCACTTCCTTCGAAGTGCAGATTCCTCGCGCGTTCTTCTGAGTGCAGAATAAGTGAACTTTTTTTTTTTTTTTTTTAAAGGAAACTTATCTGTGTGTTAGAAATGGATATTCACAGCAAAACCACGAGTCTCGGGTTAAGGGAAGTGACAATTTTATTCCATTCCAGAGAATGGACAAACTCTTAACTTTTATCAAGCCACATGTTTGGCTGTGTCATTGTTTTAACTTGGATATTTTATGCTTTTACTTGAATGTGCCTAATGGAATCATTCGATGTGAGAAACAATTCTTAATTTACTGCAAAGTATTGGAATAACCATTGAGGAAAAACACTATTATTTTTTGTACCAAAAATACTTAAAGACCTCAGAAGCACTATTTTACTTTGAAGAAATTGCTTTTCTTGGACTTGATCCAGAAACGGTTGTCAGTGAACTCCGGACAAAACAATTTCACTGATATTTAAAACAGATAGTGATATGAAATGATTTGCCTTTTTGTAGGCATAATAAGCCAAATGCTTTTTTACCCAAATTACCTTTGAGAGATGATGCAATGAAAGATTGCACCACGAGTTAGGAGGGTGGTGTCCTCCCGCTGAAGCCTCACCTGACTTGGAGGGCGATGGGTCGGGGTCGGCTCCTGCTACGCCGGCTCTGGTGAGCTGCCGTGTTCATCGCTTCTCTGTCCCCAAACAATTTGGCTCATTGACTCTGAAGTGTTCAGTTCTCCAACCTCTGAATGGGAGGTAATGCGGATATTTCTGTGAGAAATAGTAATTTTGTGTTGCAGATCATACAGTTGGGTCAGACAGGGTTGATTCAGCCGCATCTGATGGCAGCGCCGTGCTGACAGCCCTGGGTCCTTGCTTTGGGCCCGCCCCTTTTGGACATTGCTTCCAGCAGTGAAGAATGGGCATTTGGTGGCACGAAGCCAGAGCACAGCTTTGCGAAATGCTCGTCTCCTGGAAGTGCGATTACTTGACAATGTGTGGCTTGGTTGTGTTCGTGTTCTGTCTGGTAGAGGTCTCTTCCACAGGTCACCCCGATACTGGTGTAGTAGAAGCTCTCTTTGTGGAGGCCACTGGCTTCCTCGTGCCGTAAGCTTCTTAAAAACCTCCTTTGCACTGGATTGTCATCTCATTCTTGTACAACGTGGAATTCCCTGTTTACGTCCAGCGAGTGGTCAGCGAGGGGAGCAGTGGGCATGGGCGTGCACTGCTGCGGTCCGGCGCGCGCCCGCCCTGCCGTGCAGCCCCTTTAGAGGTGAAAGCGTCACTCTGAAACTCGGCGTTAAGAGCACACTCATTGTACGTTGCGGTGTATGGTGACTATTATTAAGTAACGTGGTACTTTGCTCATCAGGCATAATGTCTAACATGCATAATTCCATCAAGTGGTTGAGGGAAACAAATAATGGATTCTTCAGTTGGTCATCTGGCTCCAAGGTTTTCTCTTGAACTAAGCATTTTTGGCTTCAGGCCAGGGCCAGAAAGGGCAGACATGGTTTTGTTACACATTCTTTGATTTTCTGTACTCTGTGACTGAGTGTACAGGCCAGGCGAGTCTGTAATTAGAACCTTACAGACCTGGGAGACATCGTGTAGTGCTGTGTTGAGGGAAACGGTGGTCCAGTGTTGTCAGTTTCTGTGAAGACACAATCATCAGGGACAGCCTGGAAACAGCGCTGCTGGCATTTAACCGGGCTTCGGGCGCACCGATCACATCCACCACCTCCCCACCCGCTCAGGCTGAGATTGGCGCTTCTGCTTGAGTGGCTGATTCTGTGACTGAGAACCTGAGCTGTTCTGTGTGGGAGGAAGCACCCTGGCACCCAGCAGGGAAAAGGAATCCGGGCTGTTGCAGCTGGGAGTCGCCTGCCTGGGGACATCGCGCTGCGTCACTCCTCCGCCTTGAGGCCCTAACAGTGCATCCCGAGAGTGAGCGGTCTTCAGTATTAGAACCACTGTCTCATCACCTCATTTTGCATTACTGTCTTCCGTGGGTGTTTCAGTTATAACTGTAATGTTATTTATAGAACAGCATTAATCCATGAAAGCTAACCTATTTTTCAATATTTATGATATCTGTACATACATTGTCTGTCCATATGTATTTGTAAATAGGCTGTATATAATGTCAGGTGGGGTCTTGGGTTCAAGTGTATATAGTCCTGTGCATTTCTTAACTGCATTTTGATGGATTCCCATTATATATATCTGTAAGAATTGTCCCCATAGAACATGTACAGAGAATTCAGTGTAAAAGCAGGCAAACTGTATGCAGACCCCAAACATTGAGGATACTTGTTTAAATTGTATTTGCAGTAAACTGGCTGGCCATCAAATCTTTAACTGAAAACCTGGTGCAAGTTCAGGCCCCTTATTTGAATTTTAAATAAAGTCTAAATCTTCAAAATGCAGCAGTTTTACAATGTGATCTAGCGCAGTGAAACCACATGTGATTAGCGTGATGCAGGCCTTCAAGAACCTGGCTGTGCTGAAGGCGTGTACATAGATGTAAATAGCTCCGCTGTGCGTCAGGCCGGCAGCTCCAGAGCGGCTGGTTGGCCGGGAGTGCTGCACCGTTTCAATGAAACAATGGATGTTTGTTGTAACTGAACTAAAATAAATACGTGCTTACTCCTCAGTGGCAGTGTCCGTTTGTTTTCAAGTACGGGTGGTGAGGTCACACCTGACGTATTGTGTGTCATAGTCTGGCACCTGGCCTTACCGGTGCGGGGAGGGGTGTCTGCCAGAGAGCTTTGTGGAAGCTCAGCTCTCGAAGTCAACCAGACCTGGGCTAACAGGCAAGGGTCTGGCTCCGCTTCCTGGTTTCAGGACCCCACCCCACCACACCTGTGATGCACAGAGCATGTCGGGAGCACCTGGCAGACTGGAGAACTGGACAGGGAAGGAGAGGAGTGGTGCACCAGCCGACGGGCACCTGAGCTGCAGCTCACACCTGCTGAGGCCGTGAAGCTGAGGGACCCGGGCTCAAAATGGAGGGTGCTGGGGTGGGGGCCCCTGGGTGCCATGATGACACCACAGGACCGGCAGCAAGCCTGGGCAGAAGCTGTGGCGGTGTCCCGGTGTTCAGCGTCCAGCAAGCCTGTGGGAAGGGTTTGTGTCAGGTCTCCCAGGCCCTGCGTACATAGGATGATGCTAATTTGAAGACTGGCAGGTGTGGCGCATTAGGTCAAGCTGCTGCTCGTGACAGCCAGGTGCTGCTGTGAGTCCCAGCTTCTCTGTTGGATCCTGCTTTCTGCCGATGCCCCTGGGGAGCAGCGGGTGGTGGCTCAATGGCTTGGGACCCTGTCACCCACATGGCAGATGCAGGTGGGGTTTCTGGCTCCCAGCTGTGGCCTGACCCAGCCCTGGCTATTGTGGGCATTTGAGGAATGAGCTTGTGAATAGAAGATTGAGCTTGCTCTTTCTGCCTTTTGAATTAATGATAAATCTTTTAAAAAAAGCCAAATGAACCGGAATGGCAACTTATTAAGCAGAAACCAGAAGTAGGCTTGGAAGGTGGGTCTGCTCGAGCTTGGGAGCGCCAGCCGGCTACCCCTGGAGGTTATGGTTCCAGGAGCACTGCAGAGATGGAGAGCTGCTGTCGCCTCGGGAGAGATGGGTTAAGTTTCTGGAAACAAAACCCATTTGCGTTAGCTTAAGGAAAAATAGCAGGTGGAAGGAAGTTAGTAGAAGCAGAGTGAAATGTCTCAGAGGATTAACAAGTAACGGATAACAGTGGGTTCCAAAAATTGTAGATTTGTGTTGTGATCTCCTGGACAGAAGTGTGTGAAATGTCACAGCTCCACCTTTGTTCATTGCACGTCTGAGTGACAGCTGCCAGGCCCCACCCCTCTGGCTGGGAGGAGAGTCCAGAGGCGATGCCATGGTCCTACGCTGGAAATAGGGCCACCAGCTATCCCAGCTTAGCCCTGAGAGTCTTGCACCCTGGCACATCCTGCAACCCAGGCCAGCTGGGATGGTCTGACCCTGAGCCAGAGAGGCACAGCCCAGTTGACCATAAACTCACTTTCAGTGGTTTTCCCCATCCCAGACTTCCGTGCAGGACGCCAGCCTTGTCTGCGATTTGGTGGATTGTAGCTCCTTCAAATCACACATGTTCTGCTTCTCTGCACCAGGGCTCTCTGCAGGAGTTCCAGGCTTCCTAGAGCACGCATCTGTCTCTTCCTGAATTTACTCTGTACTCTGTGTCCAGCAAATAAACGCAGAGACTCCATGCGCTTATTGAAGGAATAATTACGCCTCCTAGTACTGGGTGGAGGGGTTAAACCAGCACGTTGGGCTGCTTACCTGTGTGTCTTCCAGGAGCCGTGCGTAAGCCCGGGCCGCTGCCTGGGAGTGCCCTTCAGGAGGCAGCCGTGGTGGCTGGGCTCTCCTGTGCCGCACGGCGCTCTCCAGGACGGTGCTGGATCCTGGCTGCTCAGCCCCTGCAGCTCTCGGCCAGGACAGGAGCGCTGCCGTGTGGCCTGGCGCAGGCAGGACCTGGAAGCTGGGGCTGGACCTCTCTGAGCTGCAGGGGTGCAGTTTTCTCTCCCGTACTTGGTGTCTGCTTCGAGAACAGCAGCAGCAAGTGTCATATTCAAGTGGAACTCGGACGTTGTCTGCTTTCGTCTCCACCGTCAGCTCATGGCCCCCAGCCTCCATCCCAGCTTCTCTCCAAGGCTCCATTGTGCACACCCCCTGCCACGGGGTTTAACGCTGCGTACCCCACTGTGGACCACACCCTGATGTCTTGCCCAGCCCTCTGGCCGTGCCATGAGCTGGAGGCCCTCCCTGCGGTGGCATGCCGGCCCTCGGCGTGATGACGTCAGGTGCCCGGCCGTCTTCACTGCCACTGTGCTGTTCAAGGTCCGTCTCCTCCCAACAGCCTGAGCGATGACAGCCGTTGCCCAGAGCGGCGTCCTGCTGAATTCCGTCTCTGTGAGACCATGCTGACAGCACGTTCAGCGTGTAAAGTGGATAGCAGCGGGGTTGTGCTGGGTGAAACGGGGACACAGGTGAGGCCTCAGCACGAGCCTCCTTCCCCCGCCTCGTCCCCGCTCGATGGCCACACAGAGCTGCTTCACCCGAGGCCCTCGGTGGCGCCCGGTTCTCCCAAGGTGTGCTGAGCCCCACCAGGCTGGGACCGTCCGTTGCTGAGCCTCGGACTGGAACAAGGTATACAGAAGCCTGGCTGTCCTGGCTGTGACTGTTGCCGAGCCAGTGCTCGTGTCCTGTGGTCCCGAGGCAGAGCAGGGGAGAAATCCCACTGGGAAGTAGGCACGTGCATTGCATGATCCGACTCTGAATCCCCGGTCGGCCGGTGATGCCTGCTGCTGGGGCTTGCCTTTGCTTTGCTGAAAGGAATCACAATCTTTTTGTCTTTATTTTTAACAATTGATGTATTTGTCTGAAAGGCACAATGATAGAGAGGCAGAGGCAGAGAGAGATGATCCATCTGCTGGCTCACTCCCCAAGTGGCCGCAATAACCAGGGCTGGGCCAGACTCAAGCCAAGAGCCAGGAGCACCGCCTGCGCCCTCCAGGTTGGTGGCAGGGGCCCAAGCAGCTGGGCTTTGATGCGCTGCCTTCCAGATGCTGAGATTCCTAGCACTCTACCAGCTCTGATGTGGGGTCTCAAGCCGGGGCTTCAAGGCTGCTCCGCTCGCCCACCTGTGACCTTAAACGCGTAGGGAAAGACAGCTCAGGGGCAAGTGCAGGTGTCCGGCTAGCTCCCGTGCCGGCAGTCTTTGCTTACGACAGCAGTCCGCGGAATCGTCTGTTCAGGGAGTTGATACCAATCCCTGGCTTCTCAACACGTAACTTAAACCTCCAACGTTTGCGAAATTCCCACTGGAAACGTTGGAAAGTAAGGCACCGGGGCAGGAGGTGCTGTGTTGAGGACGCAGCTTCCCCCGCGGTGGGCACCGGGGCAGGAGGTGCTGTGATGAGGACGCAGCTTCCCCCGCGGTGGTTTGTTCTTCCCAAGGGGAAAAGGGGCCTCGAGCTTGGGTAAGCAGAAGGTTCCCCACCAGTGTCCCTGGCTCTGCCCAGCGCGCTGCATGCTGTGCCGTGTGCTGAGCCAGGTCGGCGCTGCCTCTCGTTTCCCTGTGCGTCCTCCCGAAGTCTCTCGAGACGGTGGGTCATCGCCCTTCGCCCCAGACGGAGGAGCTGCAGTTTTAGCCGATCCCTAAATAGAGCCAAAGAAGGAAATCTGGAATACAAGCGAGCGGGAGCCTCGTAAATCTGCAGGCATTCCTGTGTCGCGGAGCGCCCGGGAAGAAACGCCTGGGGCTTCCGCCTGGCCGGAGAGCGTTCTTGCTCCTCGGGGAGCGATGAGAGGATGGTGCCTCAGAGACGCACGCTGCCCTCAAGAGAAACACAGTCGCTGGCGTTGTGGCGTTGTGGGGGAAGCCGCCACCTGCACTGCCAGCATCGTGCATGGGCACCAGTTCAAGTCCTGGCTGCTCCACTTCCAATCCAACTCCCTGCTGATGCGGCTAGGAAACCAGCAGAGGATGGCCCAAGTGGCTGGCACCTGCCAGCCTCGTGAGAGACCCAGATGAAGCTCCTGGCTCCTGCCCAGCCACTATTCCATCTGAGCAGTAAGCCAGCAGATGGAAGCTCCCTCTCTCTCTCTCTCTCTCTGACAGATAAACAAATAGATAAATTTTTAAAAAGAAAAGACACACACGAGCAGCTGCGTACTCAGAAGGCTCCGGCTTCCCACAGGGCATCACAGGCCCCGCCGTGGTATTTCTGGAAGAAGAGCCCACACCAGGCAGCGCCAGCGGCTGCTCGCTGCTCCAGGCCAGGATGTGGGGAGGGGCTGACGTATTTGTGCGGAGTGGGGCTCAAGTTCAGGGCTACCAGTCTGGGCTGTGTGGTCCCCAGCAGGCCCTGCCGCTGTCCCTGCCTCAGCCGGCTCCCAGTCCCCGCCCTGTGCAGGCCGCTGCGTGGGCAGTCGCTGCCATCCCCTGGGTGGGTGCTTCTGACCAACGTTCGGCTGAAGAAGACGAGGCTTGCGGGCTGTGCATCGACCTCGGAGGTTCAGTGAGACCCCCAGTGTGGGGAGCAATCCGGACTAGACTAAGTTACTCGAATTAAGACTTATTCTATGCATCTGCTCTCCCACAATATGGCGCTGGGAGAGAAGTAAACAGCTTCCGCACAGCTGCCTCCAGTTCAACTAATAAATTGTAGGACTTGCTCCTGATTGGAGAGCAGCATACTTGGCGTGTGGGCAGCCGAGTTAGGATTGGCGGAGGAGGACTATAAAGGAGGAGAGAGACGGCATGCACCAGGAACATCTATGGGGAACATCTAAGGGAACCTGTGCAGCCCCCGAGAGAACCGGCCGGCGGTGTGCCGCTCCCCTGCGGAAGTGGGGAATGCGGCCAGGGGGAACTGCCCTTCCACGGAGGTGGAAGGGATAGTAGCCAACCCGGGAAGAACCAGCAGCAAACCCGGGGAGGGCCGAGCAGACAGAAAGAACAGCGCAGGGTCCTATGTCGTTCCCCCACGAAGACGGGGAGCGACACCCAGAAAGGCGACCGAGCGAGACTTCTGCCCCCGTCTGTCCACAGGAAAGTAGGGACACACAGGCAGCCCTGGCTTTTAGGGTGATCTCGGGTACTGAAGG